CTTACAGGTTCACACTTACACCCCTCACCTTTACACCCCGCACACTTACACCACTCACCTTTACACCCTGCACACTTACACCCCTCACCTTTACACCCCGCACACTTACACCCCTCACCTTTACACTCCGCACACTTACACCCCTCACCTTTACACCCCGCACACTTACACCACTCACCTTTACACCCTGCACACTTACACCACTCACCTTTACACCCTGCACACTTACACCCCTCACCATTACACTCTGCACACTTACACCATACAGGCTCACACTTACATCACCCACCTTTACACACTGCACACCACAATATTTACATTTTATTTAGAAGATACACATTTACCTAGGCTTTGACCTGATGACCTTCTGATCACAGCCCTATACCCCACACCATCCAGCATGCAGAGGAAAAGGGGCGACCAGACATCGCAGCTCTCTCATTTCCTTGCTCAGAGCTGGCTTCCCTCCCCTCTCCGGTGTGACCCTGCCTCCCACCCCCACCCCCACCCCCACCCCCACCCATTCACAGTAGCTCTTCCTGAGTGCTATTTTTACTCCGTGCTTTCATACACGTCGGCCAGGACACTGCGTGGAAAAACAGGAATCTCGGTGACATCCTCCATTTTTCACACAGACATTTTGAAAATAAATGCATCCCCTCTGCCCGTATCCTTGTAACACAAAAGCACTGACCGCCCCCCCACCCCATTCCCAGCAGTCAGAGAGACTCCACTTCGGTGCTAAATCCCTCCTCAGGTCTGCGAAAATGAAGCCCCCACCCATTAAACATCAACAACTGTCAACCTGTGTATATGTGGGTAAGTTGGCGTGCTGAACAGAACCTTTACATTTGCATATTTTCAGATCACCACTACCAAACACCAAGAATGTGTCAAAAACACAACAGTGATATATAGGGGGATGCTGGGAATGAGGAGGATGAGGTGGAGCCAATCACTGCAAGCATTCATGATCACCTGACTCATCATCCCCTCTGTGAGGGATTCCAGCCCCACCCACAGAGAGTATATTCCATTAAATATCTATAATTAGTAGAAATTGTATCTAGTAGAAAATGTATAGGGAACACAGAGAGTGGCCATAGTGTGAACCAGACAGCTATTCCAATTTTTTTGTTTTTAACGAACTGAAAAATAATTATCTATTATATAATATCTCATAAAAACGTAAAATTATTACAAATAAACAATAGCCCAGAAAAATGAAAACAATTGTAAAAAGCAGCAGTAATTCAGTCGCGGTTTCCCCTTCCTGTGGAGAAGCTGAGGTCCGGATGCTGAGGCGACAGTTTGAAAAACGAGGAGGCCCTCAGCCCTCAGCCGTCACAGTGTCGCTGGGAAAGGCCCAGGCGGCTCCCGCGCAGGCCTGGGAAACCCCTCGAGGGACCCCCGGCTCCTTTAGGATTACCCAACGGGTCCCAGTGCTGCCACAGAGGTGAGCTGTCACCCGCAAAATGAATAATTAAATCATTAGAGGGGTCACCGTGTTACCCGGTACACCCACAGGGAGGGGGAAGGAGTCCGTCATTCAGCACGCCGGACACACGGGAAGAGGGAAAGGGGAATCCCTGCTTGGCGCCGCGGTGCCCAGCCAGCCTGCGCTTCTGCTCTGAGTCCCGTCATTCTGAGCCTCATCTGTCCACATCGTCACCCCAAGAACCAAAAAGCATCCTGTCCTTCTGCTCTAGTGCTGTGAGCTCAAGAAACTGGCAGATCTCTGAGGTTCCTCATGCCGCGGCATCCGTCCGCGAGTCACGATGCACCTGCGGGTATCTCCAGCTCCTCCAGGGCGGATCTTTCCCTGCATCGATGCGCCATATCTGCACGTAGGGCGGGACTGACGATAACGCAGCTGAGACGTGTCACTTCCTGTCTGTCCCCTTCTCATTTATCCAGTCCAGGGACACACTGAGCCTGGAGCCTGTCCCAGGAAGCGCGGGGCACGAGGCAGGGGACGCCCTGGACGGGATGCCAGCCCATCTTGAGGCACGCTCACACATTGTGGGCAGTTTAGAGATGGAAAGTCACCCAATGGGAGGACCTGAAGGAAACCCGCATAAACACTGAGAGAACATACGCAGAGCTGGGGTGAGGGTCTGAACCCCCACCTGGTGAGATGCGAGGTTCAGCTCTGCCTCCTCGAACTTCATCTAACCCTAAGCCTAACCCTAAGCCTAACCCTAACCCTAACACATTTGTTCCAAACATCTCTATGCATAAGGCCCAGTTTGTGCAACTGACAAAAATGCCCAGTCTGTCTTAGACTTTAAATATGTCACCATCCTGCCTGTGGAAATCCCCGTCACAGACATCAGGGGGGGGGGGGGGGGAATTCATGCGATATGACCCCTCGAGTCAGCGGATCACACGCATCGAAGGCCTCGTGCAAGACGCACAGAAGACTCTAGCATTATTGAAGCGCTACTCGTCCAACCTGATGGGGAGGGGGGTTACGGTGTCTGTTATCACTCTCCAAAAAGGGTGTTTGATTCACCTTTTCTGGCTATGCCACTCTAACCACCACCTACTGCCTGACGGAACAGGAAATGAAGTAATGCTTGTCTGTCAATCACACACGGCGGCTTGTACGGCGCGGCCAGGCACCACGAGAAAGCGAAACCTCTATGGCGACCTCTATGGCGACCTCTATGGCAACCTCTACATGACCATGGCGTTCCGATGCTTCCCTTCCAGCAAGGGGCTTCCGGGAATTTTAATTTAGTTTTACACAATCTGCCTGCCGTTTCCCCATCGCCAGCTTCAAACTGATTGCGTCTAATTAAAACTCTTCCTGCCTCCAGCATTGTAAACTGAAACCATGAAAATGGCCTCAGTTGTCTCCATATCATTTTCTGACGTGTTGCTACCAGCCAAAGAAGAGCCCAATATCCTCGAGTCACAAGTAGCAAGACAAACACATATTGATGACTTTAGGATTAAGTAACTCGCTTTTTTTGCACAAGGTCAGTGAATAGAGTTTTTTTTTTTATCTTAATGTAAATAGAGCCAAACAGCCTTCTGAGCTCTGCAACATTTGATGTATTCTCAGTCAACATCTGAGAGCATCATTGGAGGAATGATTGGTTATGTAACTATTTAGCTTGTACCTTCAGGTAAACTGGGTTTTATCAGCATCCTTGTGTAAAAAACTCTAAAGTCACGGATCCTGCAGCGTGGTGTTACTCTGTCCCCAACCCAGACCCTATAACTCCCAGGCAGGCCGACCCAAACACCTCAGTAGGCTGGTCCAAACACGCAGAGTCTGCAGACTACACAAACAGAGGAGCATAAACAGCTGACCCAATCAGGCAGGGCGACCTAAACAAGGACAGATTCGAACACGCAGAGTCTGACACCATAAACAGCTGAGGGCAATCCAAAGACCGTAGCAGGATGGTCCGGCTGGGGCACACAGGACGAACATTACTCCATACTTACAAATAACTGCCAGGACATAATCTTCACCCCTGAACCCAGATTACATGTTAACTGGATTATATGGGCCGGGAATGTCTC